TCTCTCTCTCTCTCTGTCTCACTCCGTCTCTCTCTCACTCTTTCTCTCTCTCTCTCTGTCTCACTCCGTCTCTCTCTCACTCTTTCTCTCTCTCTCTCTGTCTCACTCCGTCTCTCTCTCACTCTTTCTCTCTCTCTCTGTCTCACTCCGTCTCTCTCTCCCTCCCTCCCTCCGCAGCGAAATCCAGGTTCTAGTTCTCCGACACTTCAGCAGCCGCGTTCTGCTTTGAAGCGTTTCTTTAGGAACGAGCTCTCARGCTAAAGCGAGAGTTGACTCCTCCCACACTAAGAAAACAGGACGGGAGGGGTCAGCGGAGCTCCTGTGTTGCGGAGCAGAGAGGGAGAAAGCCGAAGTAAACAAACAAGCAGGAAAATGAAACTTATCGCCGTCTTTTTTTTACCGACCTCAAAAAAAGTTATCGTGCGATTAATTGATTTATTGACTATCGCGACAGGCCTAATCTGTTCATTTATCAACGCAGAACACGAGTCAGAACCTCCACAACTCTAACCTAGACTTTCACTCATGTCATTATTTAAATGCAGGGATGTTTGTGTTTTTCACCACTATATTATGTTCCTTTGTATCCAATCTGATTTTGCAATATTTTGCAGAAATGCTTAGATGATGTTGACCTTGTCTTAACTTGATTGTCCAAACACCAGTGAAAAGTATTGATAAAAGGTTCTTGCAGAGGTTCCTCTCTCTCTCTGAACCATCTCTCATTGGATTAAAATTGGGTCTTTTTTTTGTACTTTTGAATAAAAGTCCTAAACTTGTTTACATAATAGTGAGATTCTCAAATGTCTTTGCCTAAAAAGCAAAGTTATGACTCAAATCAGAGCTTTGGCAGGATTTGAACTTGAATTTTGGTTTCCCGTTAAAAAGCATGAGCTGCCACTCAGATGATAAGAACCCAGTTACTCCTATCAATGTTTAGCTGAGGTTTTTGCTCAATTATATTATATATATTTGTTGAATGAGAGTGGACAAAAACATCTTGATGTTTCAATGTAAAGTTAAAAAGATATTTATGTTTAAAGGAATTTAAAGAAAAAGACAAACGGCCTCATTTTAACAGGTGATTTCTGTTACTAACACTCAACAGTGTTTTAATCTCACATTAAAACGTTACTGTATGCCACACCAGGACTCTAAAACGGATACGCGATTATTGTTTTGACCAATAATGTTGAATCAAATTGATTGAATAAAATAAAACGGTATATATACACAGAGATTTTATCTTTACTTGCTTCAGGTTGCTTCCATGTCTTCCTGGAAGAATCGGGGGAGGTGGCAGGCAGAGGGAGGTCTGGGGAGTTTTGTTTAGATTCCCTTCCTGCTCTGTACTAACCAAAAAACTTTAATCTCTTCACTCTCATTAGATCAGGGATTCTCAAACCTTTTTGGGTCTGGGGACCCTTTACAAGGGCGAACAATTTCCAGGGACCCCATGCTGTTTTAAAAATAATTTTAACGCCTAAATGTCATGGGAATATTATTTTGTGTTTGATTTACATCAGAAGAATAGCAGAAAGAAGCAGAATTTGAACTGAAATAGTAGAAAAAAAGCTAAAATTAGCTAAAAGTAGCTAAAATTAGCACAAGAAAATGAAAAAGAGTAGAACCAGAACAAAATGTGTAAGGTGCTGTAAAGATTTAGAAACATTTTTAAGGGTTTTAAGGATGATGAAAACAGCTCCATTCATTTTCAATGGGAAAAAAATGTCCGAAAAAGTGAAATAGCTGAAAAAGTATAAATAGTTGAAATACAAAAAGTCATAGCACCCTTGGCATAAATGAGCTGAACGTTTTCATATATGAATTGTTGAAATAGCACAAAAATTGTGGAACGAGTTAGATGCTGAAAAATGTACAGAAGAAAAAATGATAATAGTGTGAATGCTGTGAAGCATCACACAATTAGCAGTTTATTGAAAATTTTTGAGGACCCCTGAGATAGGGCTCGCGGACCCCAGTTTGAGAACCTCTGCATTAGACAATGCCGTTTTGGTTATAACTGCAGTTATGTGTGATATGGTAACTCAATAAAACCAATAAAGCCTTTTTCTTCCCCCCTCAGGACCTTAAGGAGCTGAGTGGTTTAGTCACAGAGTTCTCCCTGATCGTCCACGTGAGTACGAACGCTGCACTCTGCTGGCTTCCCTTTTTTTTTCAGCACGGCACACATTTCTCCACCTCCGCGCGCGCGTTGCACGGTTAGCCGTGTGAACGAACTCGCTGCTAGCGTTTTCAGGAAGTTGTGCGTTGCAGTTCGACGTGGGCTCGCGTCACCTGGAAAGGCTCCTCTGAAACGAGGTTACACAGATCAGCTCGGGAGTGCTGCCGGGGCCCCGGAGGCTGTCCGCTGAGGCAAGACTGGTGGGGGGCGGGACAGACAGCAGGTCGTCACGGGGGAGAGGAGGGAAACGAGGGATACGGCAGAGCAGGTGTAGAACAGACGGTTCAGATTATCACTGTCCTCAGGGATGGGGAGAGAGAGAGAGAGAGAGAGAGAGAGAGAGAGAGAGGCCGAGAGAGAGAAGGAAAGATTAACAGTGAAGGAGAGAGTGAAGATGTAGTTAGTGTGAAAAGAAAAAAAAGGGCAGATAAATCGAGGTGGGCGGGGGGGAGAAAGAGCATAGACATGTTGCAGAAGTGCCTCATGGGTGAAAGACGCCGTTAGGGGAGCAATATTCCAGCGCTCAGCCACAGTGGAAACACTGAGTGAGTGTGTGGTTGTGTGTTTGTGTTTGTGTCTGCACACGCTGGAGACTGTTCCCATGTTTGTGAGCTCCTCTTCTTATCACTCTCTCTCTGTCTGCTGAAGTTACAGCTGGCTATATTAAATCATCTATTAGCTCAGGGGTCTGCGAACTTTACAATCAAAAGAGACATTTCTGCTCCTTGTTTCACTAATAAAATGTGTCCGGAGCCGCAAAACAAGCTACAACTGTGATTATCAACTGGTGGTCCGTGGGCCTTTTCAAGGCCTATTCAGGAACCTTTATGGTCAGTGGAGGTGATATTAAAAAACTAAAAAAAATATTATATTAGTTAATATTATACACATCATGACAAATAAAAAGACCAAATTCATGTAAACAAGAAAAAAACTGTATATAGTTTATACCGAATTTCATAAAAACTAGTAGAACTGAATTATACAGGCAAATTTTTTTCTAATTCTTATTATTATGTAGCTAAAAAAAATATTATATTAGTTAATATTATACA